TTTTTTAAGCCTTTTGTCTTATAAAAGTTTAGTTACTAAACAAATTATGTTTGAGCTTTTTTTAAACACCTCCCACCTTTTAAGAATAAGGGGCAGGCAGTATTTATGCCTATCTGTAATAGGGAACACCAGGAATTTGACCGTGATTTTAAAAAAGAAGTTCCCTTTCAGTTGAATTGGTGGAAAATTTGGAGATATCTTTGTCTTCCTACAGGGTAGAGATCATGGAGTTTTAAGGTTCTGAGGGGTAGACATGGCATGTCAGTGCACGGTGTCCTGTATATCGCTTATACTGCAGCTAAAGTCCTGTACTGGTCACATGGGAAGTGAAGTTGATATTGTCAAGGCACTGTAAAACAGGCCACTGTGTCCAGTCTGCTGTCCTGCTGTGATTATCTTATTACAGCAGCTGATAGTATTCTGTCTCACTTCCAACTGGGAGTCATGTAGGTGTGGAGGTTTTGAAGAATTGGTAGTGACCTCGTTATTCCCATGTACTAATGAGACCAGTGTCCAAATTTGAAAAAAAAACAGTGGTTGTCCTAGCACCAGTAGTTTTGAAGTCATTGACCACCTTAAACAAGAAAAACCATGCCTGGCGCTTGTAACGCAAATATTATTTGTCTCTTGAGTCTTACCAGGTCCTACCAGATAAATTCCATTTCGTTGCTTCAGGAATTGTGAATGAAGTTTAATATAATAAAATAGTCCACAAATAACCACAGTATAATTTTAAAAATATAATGAACACTTACTATTAATTCAGAAAAAAAGACATTCATTTCTGTTGTGCATTTCGTTATCAACAAAAGATGTCTGAAACCAAATGAAAGGCCTTTGAACTGTTACCATTGTTGTAGTAAAATTGCCAGATAATCTATTTTTGTGATGATCATGATTAATATTCCCTTACACTATGCAGAAATGTGTTGACTGGAGGGCAGGTCTTATGAGGAAAGGTCGAGGGAGTTCGGGCTTTTTTTCATTGGAGTGAAGAAGGATGAGAGGTGACTTGATAGGTGTACAAGATGATAGAGTCTATAGCCAGAGACTTTTTTCCAGGGCGGAAATGACTATTACGAGGGGGCATGATTTTAAGGTAATTGGAGGAATGTATAGGGGAGATGTCAGAGGTAGGTCCTTTACACAGAGTGGTGGGCGTGTGGAATGCGCTGCTGGCAGTGGTAGTGGAGTCAGATACATTAGGGACATTAAAGCGACTCTTGGATAGGCATGTGGAGGGTAGTAAAATGTAGGGTATGCAGGGTAGTTTAATCTTAGTAGGATAATAAGTTGGCACAACATCGTGGGCTGAAGGGCCTGTACTGTGCTGTACTGTTCTATGTTCTATGTTCTAACTGGAAAATTCCTACGCTAAACACTGCAAGGTGGATACTCACTTTGACTCTTAGGTAATTGATGCAGCACGCATTCAATTGGCTCCCACCAATTACTTCCTCCAAATTTGCACTCCATCCACCCAAGAAATTTTACCTCTTGCATTATGTTTTTTCGGAAGTGCACATGAGCCCCAATCCCAACTTCCACTGCGAAATAAATAGAAATTTGCTGCCCTTTTAAGTGCTGCAGCTCTGAGTATTATTTGCTCCAGCAAAGATCTCATGGTCCTTTGGAACAAATTAGATAAGTAGACGTTTTTCTTTTAAAAACAAACTATCTCAATAATTACTGTTGCCCAGTGTTCTGCACCTTTCTGCAAAGTTCATACTGCGCTGCTTAGATGTAATAGTGTCATAAATTAATAACAGCTTCTTGATGTTCACAGTAAAAAAAAAAAAAATAAATTGCATCTCCTCCAGTGATTGATCATTCCTTGTTCACACCCCCAATTTCCTTCATATGGACCAGCTGTAGATTACTCTGCAGCGATATGTTCACCCTGCACTGGGAACACTCCCATTGTGTAGATAGTGGTTTACCATTTCCTTTCAGTGGAATTGCTTACATTGTCATGCTGGCTTATTTTTGTTCCTTGGAAGCTCCTGTTTTTCAGGTTGCTTCTGTTGAACAGTATCTTTATATCAATGCATAAGCAAGGGTTCTGTCACAAATCTAGCCAAGTATTACCAACCAAATGGAAAGAACTTCAAGGATTTCACAGCATGTGAATTCTGATTGCAATAGTTGGACTTCATCAAAGCTAAAAGTATAAAGGAGCACAAGCAAAACTGATGAAGTCACCCATACAGTTCACATATCTTGATTTCCAGAGATACCTATAAATAATAGTTTCTCAAGAATACTGTTTTATAGATGAGGATGCAAACCACGTGAATCTCTAAAGTAAATGCTTAACAAGTCTGAGAACCTGTACCCTAACATATAAACATGCCTTTCTTTTAAAGGGTAAAGAATAAGCAGCCATTTACAACATAGTTTTTTTGCCCAAAAAACTAAACACCAGACTGCCACAAACCTTCTGACAGAATTGCATATAAACTGTGTCCCTTTACCTAATTTCATTTTTGTGGCCAGATCTCCACAATACATTGCATTTTGTTGTATTATTCCTGTTCTATTTTAAAAAGAAATCTTCAGACTGACGCACAGCAATTCACAATTCATTTCTGTCGTCATAGAATTGAATTATGCCAGCACTGCTTTCAGTGCATGATGTGAAACATTTATTTCTGGTAGTTTAGAAATCTCTCTCAACATGGTTCAAGTGAAATTGCCTTAATTATTCTTGAACTTAACTTTTAATGACATTGTTCATCATATTACTTAAATGATCAGAATAAATTAACTGTGAGGATGAGTTTTCTTATCATTTGAAATGTCATTTTGCTCACTTCACGTTGGTGGATGTGAAAAATGTAAAAACATCACCATTGCAGGGTGAATTGCATCATCAGTTGCTGCCTGTTAATTGAGAATTGATTTCTTTCTTTATTCAGTCATGGGATAAGCTGCTGCCTTTATAAAATGACTTCAAACAATGGACTTTTAACTCCATTTAATAAACAATAAGGAAATGCATATAGAACAGCATTAATTAATTATCTTCTGCCTTGTGTGGGGTACAGCATTTGCAATGGGACTGAAATGTCGATTGTTTTACTGTCTGATTTACAATAGATGGATTGCATTGACTTCCTATTATTACCAATGCATGCTGTATGTCATTGCACATTTTCTGTCTATTATACTGCTCATTTGCACTGCTTTCTATTGTATTTGAAATAAAGCATGCAGTGTTTGATTGTAGGAACACTTAAATTCATTTAGATAAATTATCAGGAGCATGAATTAGACGTGTTATAGCACTGAAGTCAGAATCCCTTATACAAAGGAAAATGTATCAAACAATGCATCATCTCCTGCCACCATGGCGATTTGCTATATTTAACCAAAGCATAAGTATCACTAGGGTTCCTTAGGACATTTCCATGTCTCTAAAGGTGCAGGTACAGTGCAGTTGATGCTGAGTGTGGCAGCAAAGATGTAGCATTATATGAAAAGGGTAGCAAGTATCCACATGATATCAATTCACAACATTTATTTCAGTTTAACATCATGAATAGTGTTCTTATCTGTTTAACATTGGAGTTTCTCCTTAATTTTGTTTGACAGATTTCCCACCCTGCCCTCCAATATGACTTGTTCTATTGCTCCCGGACCTGATGTCCTGTGTCCTGCACCACCACCACCATTTCCCCCCAACCCCGAACCTTCATTTCTCTTTTCTATCGTCGTCCATTTCTGTTGCAACTGCTGGGGCTTCAGCTGTTCTTCCACTCTGCATCTCCTTCTGTACTAATTCCTGATATAGTTCCTGGATTGGCTTCCACTCCTCCCCTTCTCTTACCTTAGCCTCTGGGTCTCTTCTGCTCCTGGTGGATTCTTCCTAAGCTGAGCTCACATTGAAGTATTGGGCTCCATCTAGTGACCAAAGTTGATTAGTGTAGATAGTTTCAGAACTTCAATCACTAACTGGAGCCTAGTCAATCTAAAAATACTGTAGATGAGTTATTTTGCATCAAGTGTGTTTTATTTTGCAAGTTATTTCAGCAGGTAATGCACAGTGCTACACCCAATGGTACAGTATTTCAACTTGTACATTTAGTTTCTCAGGGTGAGAAATGTGCAAAGGAGCCTAACCCTGATCTTCAGCATGGAAATCAAAGGTACCCTTGAAGATGTGATCCTTAGGGGCACAGCCACAATTTTTTTTGAGGACTGATTGTATGGCACAGAAACAAGTTATTTGGCATAACGAGTCCATACCAGTGTTCATACTGCACTTGTGCCTCTTCCCATCTCTCCTCCTCTAAATCTATTATCATGACTATTTATTCCCTCATGTTTATCCAACCTGCACTTAGTAATATAAGGTTCTATATAAGAAAAAGTGTTAATCTTTCAATAGAAAATGATTAAAGGATAATGTCACAAAAACTGAAATTGCTGGGAATGCTCAGCCTGACGTTTTGGGTCGAGTGACACTTCCTCACCCTTAAGTTCTGAGGAAGGATCACTCAACCCGAAACATTAACTCTGTTTTTCTCCACAGATGCTGCCAGCCCTGGTGAGCATTTCCAGCAATTTCCGTTTTTGTTTGATTTCCAGTATCCACAATTTTTTTGGTTTTTACAGGGTAATGTCATTCAACAGGTAGATAAATTAAGAGAATGCAAAAATTCAGGAGTCAGAATATGATAAATTTAAGAGGCTAACGTAAACTAAAAGGACTAGCTAACCAGGTTAGATTTTTTTATACTGCTGAAACATTGTGGAATATTTTCTGTATTGAAGGTGCTGTTTGAATTGCAAGTTATTGAGACCTTGTGCTGTAAATGTTGCCAAGTATAATGTGATATTTAACACTGTCCAGTCTTGATTCAGCAAAATAGGAAGGCTGGTTGGGGGAAGAAAGTTTGAGAGATGGGGATAACGAATTATGGGTGATAGAATCATCTGTCTGCAAAGTTATTTAAAACCAAACTGTGTATCTGATATTCCATTCTTTATCTTTCCAGGAAACAAGGCTAGGGAAGCTCATCAATGACGTACGGAAGAAAACAAAGAATGAGGAGCTTGCAAAACGCGCCAAGAAACTGCTGCGGAGTTGGCAAAAGTTGCTGGTTGAGCCAGTGGGCCAAATTGAGTCTGTACCAAGGGCACTGCCTACCTCCCCCGGCTCAGCCAATGGTGGAGCTCATGCCTACAAGATTGATTTGCCATCTTTGGCCACCAGCACTGGAGCAGGAGGACCCAAGCCCACCCTGGATCTGAAAAGCAAGAATGACGTGCACAATTCCTTCTCCCTGCTTGCTGACAAGCAGGGCAATCGGAAGAGGAAAGGGGAGCATCGGGATGGCACAAAGGGTCCACCTTCCAAAGTCCCAAAGGTTAATGAACAGCTACAGAACTCTACACCACCACCTTCCAATGGAATCCGTGGCAGTCCTGAAAATTTCCCAAGTCCTCCAGATATGACATCTACAAATATCCATACCATCCCAGGCAAAAGCAGACCAGAGCACCAGACCCCATATGAAAATGACAAACACAGCAAGATACCAGTTAATGCTGTGAAACCTCACACGAGTTCTCCAGGACTTGTAAGAAACCCAAGCACTTCCTCATTACTAAAGACTGCTATTCTCCAGCAACATGGCAAAACAGAGGACACTGGCATGCGTTATCCACCCAGTAGTCCCCGATGTCAGTCGTTCAGCCCAAGGACTCTTAAACATGAAACAACATGGAAGCCCTCCACGACATATGCACCCAAGGGCTCTGTATCCAGCCCATCTCAGAGCTTTACAGGAACATCTCAAGAAAGTTCTGATTCAGAAAAGACAACATCTCACTTAACGAAGAACAATGTTCAGGTGCCATCCCCTGTGCCTGCATTGCAGCTAGCCACAACACCACCTCAGCCAACCCAAGCAAAAAGCATGCATCCACCCGACACTGAACACCCATTGGATCGGCTGGGGCATGTATCTAATTTAGAGAATGTTGGTGAAAACCAAGTGCAGCACCATTCTGCAACAACACTACAGCAGCAGGACTCACCATATCCACCCCTCAGCCCCAATTCGTCAACTTCACATCGTGGAGAATCCTTACACAGTCATGAGTTGGAAGCAGCAATGGGAGAGTTGTCCTCCAGTGAGTGTGCCTCTTTTGGCTGTGAAAGTAAAAAGTCATCTAAGAAAAAGTACAGGTCTAGAGACTATCAGGTGAACTTAGACGGACAAGTTATTGATGAAAGTGTGAAACCTGTACGGTTGAAAGAGCGTAGAATTACATTTGACCCTGCTACAGGGCAGATCAAACCTTTGACACACAAGGATTCATCTCAGGCTGAAAGCCCAGTTCTACCTGAGCCTCATCGAACCACTGAAATTGTACAGGAACAGAGGGTTAATTTGCAAAGTACTTTAGATCAAACAAACTGGAAGGAATTATCCAAAAATGAAATTATTCAGTCATACTTATCGCGGCAAAGCTGCCTTCTTTCATCTTCGGGAGTCCAGCCACCAGGCGGTCATATTGTTGAGTTTCTACAGCATGAAAGCCACAGGTATAGCACTAGCACAGAAGTCCGTGAGGTCCACACATTAGTCCCTACTGATACTCCCTCAGAACTTCCTGGGGTCACTAGGGAGATCAGAGACTCTGATGTTCACCGAATACACCAACAACATTGGGCAGGTGTGAACGGTTGCATGGACAACCATGGAAAATGGTATGATTGGACGCAGGGCATATCTTTGGACCCTCATGGTGATCAGGGACAATTGCACATACTGCCGTACGTCTGTCTAGACTGAGTGATAATGTCCTTTTGGCGTGCTTTGAGGTTTAAAGTCAGCTGACAGCAAACAAGTGGCTCCCACTTGCTGGAAATGATCAAAAGCCTTGAGATGCAGGTTATGGTTTGAAGGTTCTGTTTCTCAGCCTATCTGTGTAGGTCCCCACCCCAAACCCCTCTCTTCTACAGTTTGCTGCTATCAGTGTTTTAATCAAAATTGCAAAGGAGGGAAAGGAGCACAAGAGAAGAGAAGGTTCCAAGGGAAATAAAAGTGAGGGGTGGTTGATTATGTCGCATAAGCAACTCACCACACAGATTATGGCAGGTCATAACCAGGGATCGTCAAGCCTGCCATAGAGTGGTTTATCAGTGGGAGAGAATCGAGGCTTATTGAAGGTTCCAGCACTTTACAGTAGGCTGGATATGGTCTTGGGGCAGGTACAGGAGCTTTATGTGGCATCAAAACACAATGAATAATGTTACTTTAAAAAGTATGCATCTATTTATTTGATTTGATTTTTTTTTTTAAAACTTTAATTTGGCCATGAGATATGTGAGACAAATGTGCAAAAACTGTAGATCTCTCTTTTATTTACATCACACATCTCTTTTTCTTCGGGACATAGTTTTAAAGTAAGAAATCATGACAGGCTGTGAACATTTGCACAGTACAACGTCATACCAAACATTCCATAGGTCTTCGCATGCTGGGAGTTACTGTCATCTTCTACTTAAGCAGGAGATAAAACCCTTGGGTATTCATAATCTAGATTTAAAAATGTTTAAAAAGAAGCTATTTTAGGAAGTCAAAGATTTGGGTTGTGCTTTTTTCTTTTCCTGCCACTAGTCAAAATTCAAACTTTAACTTTATAATTTTGTTCTTTGCTTTGCTCTCTTGCTTGAGCTCCACATTCGTTCTCACTTCTCAAAATCCCAAAGTGGAAAAAAAGGAGGGTGCTACTAGTTTGCAACTTTGTACTGTGAGGAGTTGATTTAAAAAAAAATTTCAAAAAAATTTCAAAAGGAATCTGTTTGTATGCTGGAGATATACTTGTTACCATTCCTTTAGATATTGTTTGCCTTATGGAATCCATCATTACCACAACCGCAAAAACAAGAAGCCTTAGTGAATGTACAGAAATTAGACTTCTGTGTTTCTCACAATACAGAAGGAATGACTTTGCTATTTGGTCCTTTTAAGTGGACTCGTTGTGATATAAATGTGGAAACAATAAAAAAAATTTGCACAAAACAACTGTTGCCTTTTATTCAAAAAGAAACATCTACAGTGAATTTGTTTCCCTTTTAATTGTCTGCCCAATTACACAGCTTAGAAATTAGTACAAAATCCAATGTGTTTAAGCTGTAAATGGATGATCAATTTACATTTCGTTCAGAAGTGGATTCTTCCACTGATCTCTCTTCGTGTATATTCAGCCATCGTTATGAGCACAATGGTTTGGGTTGGAGTTGCACTGCCCTTGCTCTGGTTTCAAACTCACGTACCACATCCCTCATATGTGCCCTGACCTGGGTGGTGCTGAATGACAGGCCAGGAAATTTGCAGTTTTCTTCCATAGAGGAATATTGGCAGTGAGTGCACAATTGGTCCCTGTGACCTTGAGCAATGCAGAGATATATTGAACTGAGTACCCGTTTTAATTGGTTACTCCTACTGGTAAAAGTGTATCTGTAAGTTGAGTTAGAGTCAGTCATACAGCATGGAAACAGACTCTTTTGGTCCAACTTGTCTGCACTGACTGCATATCTTAAACTGATCTAGTCCCATTGACAGCATTTGGACCATATCCAACTAAACCCTTCCTATTCCTATACCCATCCAAATGCCTTTTTAAATGTTGCAATTGTACCTGCGTCCACCATCTCTGGCAACTTGTTTCATACACACACCACTCTCTGCATGAAAATATTGTTCCTTGGGTCCCTTTTAAATCCTCCTCCTCCACCCCCCGCCACCTTAAACCTATGTCCTCTATTTTGGACTCCCCTACCCTGAGAAAAGTACCTTGGCTATTTCCTATCTTTGCATAGATGTTATTTCTCATGCTATCTACCTGTGACGCCACTTTCAAGGAACTTTTCACCTGCACCCGTAGGTCTCTTTGTTCGGCAACATTCCCCTACAATTAACTGTATATGTCCTGCCCTGGTTTGCCTTAATAAAATGCAACACCTCACCTTTATCTAAATTGAACTCCATCTGTCACTCCTCAGCCCATCTGATCAAGATCCCATTTTACTCTGAGATAACCTTCTTCACTATCTACAACACCATAATTTTGGTGTCATCTGAAACTTACTAACCATTCCTCTTATCTTTACATCCAGATCATTTATATAAATGACAAAGTGGACCCAGCACTGATCCTTGCAGCATACCTCTGGTAAGAGGCCTTCAGTCCAAAAAAACAACCCTCCACCATCATCCTCTGTCTCCTACCTTCAAGCTAATTTTATATCCAAGTGGCTGGCTCTCCCTCGATTCCATGTGATCTAACATTTCTAACCAGACCACCATGCAGAACTTTGTCGAGTACCTTGCTGAAGTCCATATAGACAACATCTACCGCTGTGTTCATCAATCATCTTTGTCAATTCGTGAAAAAACTCAATCAATTTAGTGAGACATGTTTTCCCATGCACAAAGTCATGTTGACTATCCCTCATCAATCCTTGCCTTTCCAAATGCATGAAAATCCTGTCTGTCAAATTCCCCTCCAACAACTTGCCCACCACTGATGTCAGTTGGTGTATATGGTTTCACTCCTCAGTTAAAAAGCTGACTAACCAGGTTTGTTGACAAAGGAAATTCAGGTGAACCACCAAAGACCTATTGGAAGTGTATCCTAACACGTGACATTGAGGCAGCTGGTAAATTCATGCCTATGTGAATAAAGATGTATGCTGTTTTTCTTTTTGTGACAACTTCTGTTTAAATATGTTTGAGATTTCCTGAGCTATGTATATCACCTACGGACAGGCATCTGCTCCCAGGTATCAACTGGTGCAGTTGGATATTACTGGGATGTTACATTGTCATTAAACCTTTAATAGAGAAATTGTTTCACTGATTTTTCAGAATCATGTTTGCTCTGCCTGATCACATTGTGTTGTTTTAAGTATGTAATTGTCACATCTGTAATAATGAATTCTAATGCTTTTGCCATATCAGGTGCTAGGCTAACTGGTCTATTTTCCTTTATGCCTCTCTTTTTGAATAAAGGTTTTCCATTTGCTATTTTCCAATTGACTGGGACCCTCCCAGCATTGAAAGGACTTTGGAAGATTATAGCCAATGCTGTCTGTGATGCCACCTCCTTTTAAAGATCTTAGGATGCATGCCTTTCAGCCCACTGTTTTTCCCTGGCATTCTTTCCCTGGTGGTTGTTCTAAGTTCATACTCCCTATCACCTGATTTTCAGTTATCTTTGGAAAGTGTTCTAAGTCTTCTGCTGTGAAGCAGACACAACATATCTGGTCAAAGCCTCTGCCATTTCTTTTGATTTCCATGATCAATTCCCCAGACCCACTCAAGGACCAGCCCTAGCTTTACTTACGCTGTTCAAATTGAAATACTTGTTGAAAAGCCTCCTATCTGTTATGATATTACTAGCTAGCTTTCTTTTGCCCTGCTTTCTGCCTCTCTTTTATCTTGTTAGATATTCTTTGTTGGATCATGAAGTCTGACTAAACCCCTGACTTTGTACATATCTGTAAAGATTTGTGCTGTGTTTCTTTAAATTTAATACCATCCTTAACTTTATTCAGTCATGGATAATGCATCTTCCTCAAAGTGCCTCTCCTGTCACTGGGATAGATCCTTATTGAGAATGATTAAATATCCTTAAGTCTGCCATGGCAACTGTGCTGTCTAACCTTTTTAAGCCAGCTTTACAGTTCCCATTAGCCAGCCCTGCCTTCATACCTTTACTTTGATTTAAAAACAGTAGCCATAGAGGCAAGTATCTCCTGAACATGAAAATTTATTGTAATTACTGTCACCTTTAAGGCTCCTTCACCATCAAGTTCTCAATTAATCTGGTCTCGTTATGCAATGCCAGGTCTTGCATAGACCTGAGATAACAAGGTGTAGAGCTGATTATACGCAGCAGGCCAAGC